TTTTTTTTTATTGTATCAAACTTTGGGGTTTGCTTATCTTTATTTCAGTTAAGTTACTCTAGTATTCCAAGGTTTTTGAACAATAAAAACAGTATTTCAGATATGACTAATTGATTAAATTGACATGGTCAGTTCCCTCAACAGTTAACAGCTATAATATAATAGCTATCATCCTGCCTATTGAAAATGTCCTGAGTGGTACTCTAAAAATATTTGAATGAAGAATGTAGTCCCTGAGATAACAAATAATAATAAAGGATTCTTTTAATCCAATCAAAGACCGAATGCCAAGGTAGCAATGTTGAAATAAAATTACTGAGGCTGACATAGAAGATATCAGAAGAAGAAAATCTGACTATAGCTGGTGACTGCCAAATTAGTCTGCAGTGCTGCTGATATAAACTCGTGGAGTCGACTGTATTTTAACAAGAAGGTGTGGTTCTGAAGTTGGCTATGAGGATGAAAAAGAAAATATTGAGGAGAAGCAAATTATTAAAGTGTGAAAAGCTTTAGACTTTTTAGTTCTCCTGTGTTATTAAAGGCCCTATGCCTAATCTTAACTTTGACCATATAATTGTTCTGAAGAAATACAATATCATCAATCCAGTAGCCAAGATCTTTTTGAAATGTATTTCCCAGGCCCCTGAACTCAATCCCTTGAAGTCCAAAGTGTATCTAGTAGGTATTAGTATTATATTACTAATAGTTGTATTTAATATTTATTGTGTCTCTATGAATGGTACACTGCCAGATGCTTTAAATGAAGTATTTTATTCTCAAAGTTCTTTGAGATAGTTATTATTATGGTCTTCCTTTCATAGGCAAAGTCATTAGATTTATTGAAGTTAGGAACTTCTAAAATATTTCTCAAATGCATGTTTTAGGTACAATGCATTAAAAATTCCATAATAAATATAAAACTGGGAAATTTTATATTCATTGCTTTATAATTCATTTGAACATTGCTTAAGAGTTAAGGACAGGAAATGAAAAATGACGTGAAGTACAATCATAAATTCATTTGGACTTGTTCACCCTTTTTTTATTAGCTGGTTGCTCGAATTAAATTTTCTTTGGGGTAACACCTTTGGAATAAGAGAGACCAGGATTTGAATATTAACTTTACTGATTATTAACTGGCTACCTTTATAATCAGGTTATTTAAATATCCTGTGGCTTACTTTCCTCATCTGGTATATGGGCATAAAACCTTCCTCACAGGTCTCTTGTAAATACAGTTGATCCTAATTTTTCAAGGATCCTGAATTTGCAAATTTGACCATTTGCTGTGATTTATTCATGACCCTGAAGTCAGTACATGTAAAGTTTTTAGTCATTTACAGAGTTGTAAGATATTTTAGTTACCCATGAACAAGGTGAATGACTTCTTATTTGATCTCTCATACGATAAACAAATATCCCTTTGTGGTCCATTTAGTTGCCATGATTTTACCATTTTATGTATTTACTTAGGAGATTCTGCCACTTATAATAGCCCTCTAAGTATAGTGCTAAAGTACTGAATAGTTATCCTAAGCAAAGAAGGCTGATATATGCCTTTTGGAGAAAATATTTTATAAGGCTTATATTTTATAAGCCTTTTGAGGCGTGAGTTGTAGGGCTATTGTCTGTTTGTTCAATGTTAATAATTCAGCAATATATATTAAATAAGATATTCTTGTTACTGGGGATTGAATCTAGGGATGCTTTCCCACTGAACTATAGTCCCAACTGTTCATTTTTTAAATTTTAGACTGGGTCTTCCTGAGTTTCTGAGGCTTCAAACTTGTGAACCTCCTGCCTCAGCCTCCCTAGTTTGTTGTTGGGATTACAGGAGTGTGCCACCACATCTAGCTTACTAAAATATTTTTAAACAGAAATAAATGGAGATCTTGTGACCAGAGACTAACTCTGAATTTTTACTAGGAAAAGTGGTTCAGTATTTACTAATTTCATGTTCCCAGAGACTGTATAAATTTAGCAAGAATAACAATAGTTTACTGTTTGTAAAGTACCAAGTGCAACACTTTAGTATATTATAAAGACTCAGTATATTCACTTTCAACTTTTTCTTAGTTTTCCTTCTGACTCAACAGTACTTCTGAAAGAGTTTAGGATGTTCTTTTTAATAGGGCAATAAACACTCTGAAATAATATCACTGGTTTAAAAGACAAGATCCTCAAACACAATTTTTCTTCTTTTTAGCTTTTATGCTCCCTTATAACAACATATTATAAAATATTCTTATTAATTAATTAAAAGGGCAGTTTTGAACCCCAGGCTAAATTGTCTTCAAAGGTAACTTTATCAGTAAGTAAAATGTTCAGCTTTGTGGTGGATGATGCAGTCTCTTTTGCAACTATTCAACTTTGCCATTATATTATAAAAGGAGTCATAGACAATATGAAAATGAATAATATAGCTGTCTTATTAAGACTATAAAAACAGGATAGATTTGGCTGTGGGCTATAGTTCAAAAATTTTTGACTTTGTTATATTGGCTCTTGGTTTGTGATATCATTTATCATAATAGGGAAATAACATGTGATTCTGAGTTTGCTAGAAGTCCCATAAACCATTTAAACTAAAAAAAACCCAAAAATTCCTTACCTCAGTTTCTACTGGTTGTCCTGGTAGTAATTATAATAACATGTGATAAGCATTTGTTATATGCCAGGCACTAAGTTAACCACTTTATACTATAATTTATTTTCTCAGCATGGCCCTATAAGACAGCTATTGTGATAATTATCTAATTTTTTAGGAACAGAAACCAAGGCCTAAAGAGGTAAAGTAACTCATTCAAGATCATGAAATTAGGACAAGGTATAATCTGGTCTGAGAGTTGTATCCTCCATGCCTAGGATAATTTTGGAATGTAGCTGGTATTCAATATTCTTTGCCTAACCTTTCCTTATTTTCCAATGTTTTACTTATTTGGGGATGTTGATCTGAATGTTAAAAGTTCATTGTACAGCATTAAGTTTTTTGAAGAGAAGCATTATATTAATTCAGTGGATAAGTAAGTGGATGAATGTGGGTTTTAGCTCTAATTCTTTAATTAGTTTTTCAAAATTAGCTTGTTTTTATCTCTAAGTTTTTCAGTGTATTCTAAAAGAGAAGTTTGCCTCAACGTGAGGCTTTGCTGCTTCACTCTCTGCTGGAAGATTTGTTTCTCTTCATCAGATAATTTGGACATTTTATTTTGTTCTTTTTTCTTTGGTATCCTGATTAAAGGATTAGAAAGCCCTTTTCTAGGTTTGAGTCACTAATACCACCCTGTGCAGAGCCTTTAGCTTCAGGGACATTGATTTGTTGAATGCATAATGACTTAGCAGCAGAACTGCCTTTTCCCCTGTTAACTATGTTAACTGTTCTTACATTGCCCATGTCTGCCATCTCTAGGTGCAGTTCTCAGAGTGAACAAAGATATCAGAAGTAGGTGTGGACAGGAGATATGACCAGGGTGGTGCTGAGAACATTGAAAACATAAGCTTGAGGCTTCAGGATGGAGATAACTGTTTTAGCTATCATATTGCCCGTCTGTGGCCCCTTTATATTTAGTTCTCACTCCTAAATGAACATTTTATTTAGGCTTGGTATGTGCCAGATACAGCTAGGAATCCAAAAATAATGGCTTTTTTTTTTTTTTCTCTCGGAGCTGAAGGTTACATGTTCCCTGCTAAGTGGTTTCTCTAGATAGAAATGCTTTAGTGGAGGTCTTCTGGAGAGTGTACTTTGGGGCATGGAGGGAGGCAGAAATGACTGCCTGGTATACTGAAGTGTTCAGTCATGAAGAGAATCATTTTTTGAATTGGGAACAGAATTTACCAGTTAGAGTAGGTTAGTTGGCCAACATCTCTGGGAAAGAAGATCACCACAGCAAGAGGGAGGATGAAGTATTTGGGGAATGATATGCATTTTGTTGATTGTAAGAGGGTGAGACAAGGGGATGAGCTGGGTAAAATCAGGGCCAGATTGTGCAATGCACATAGTGACAAGGCAGATATTAGAAGCCTTTTCTAGGGTACACTTGTACATTGCTGGTGGGACTGCAAATTGGTGCAGCCAATTTGGAAAGCAGTATGGAGATTCCTGGGAAAGCTGGGAATGGAACCACCATTTGACCCAGCTATTGCCTTTCTCGGACTATTCCCTGAAGACCTTAAAAGAGCGTACTATAGGGATACTGCTACATCGATGTTCATAGCAGCACAATTCACAATAGCTAGACTGTGGAACCAACTTAGATGCCCTTCAATAGATGAATGGATTTAAAAAATGTGGCATTTATACACAATGGAGTATTACTCAGCACTAAAAAATGACAAAATCATGGAATTTGCAGGGAAATGGATGGCATTAGAGCAGATTATGCTAAGTGAAGCTAGCCAATCCCTAAAAAACAAATGCCAGATGTCTTCTTTGATATAAAGAGAGCAACTAAAAACAGAGCAGGGAGGAAGAGCATGAGAAAAAGATTAACATTAAACAGGGATGAGAGGTGGGAGGGAAAGGAAGAGAGAAGGGAAATTGCATGGAAATGGAAGGAGACCCTCATTGTTATACAAAATTACATATAAGAGGATGTGAGGGGAAAGGGAAAAAAAAAACAAGGGAGAGAAATGAATTACAGTAGATGGGGTAGAGAGAGAAGATGGGAGGGGAGGGGAGGGGGGATAGTAGAGGATAGGAAAGATAGCAGAATACAACAGTCACTAGTATGGCAATATGTAAAAACGTGGATGTGTAACCGATGTGATTCTGCAATCTGTATACAGGGTAAAAATGGGAGTTCATAACCCACTTGAATCAAATGTATGAAATATGATATGTCAAGAGCTTTGTAATGTTTTGAACAACCAATAAAAAAAAAAGAAGCCTTTTCTTAGGGTGTAATGTGATCAGTTTTATAAAAATAATTCTGGTGATGGGATAAAGGGAAAAATTAATGGAGAATTTCAGTGACTAATGGGTTGTGTATTCTTCTGCCTTCTAGCTTTTTCCTGCGCTTCTGGAGAGTATCTAGAGATGAAGAACCAGGTATGCAGTAAGTGTGCCGAAGGCACCTACTCCTTGGGCAGTGGCATCAAATTTGATGAATGGGATGAATTGCCAGCAGGATTTTCCAACGTTGCAACATTCATGGACACTGTGGTGGGCCCTTCTGACAACAGGCCAGACGGCTGTAACAAGTAAGAATCCAAAGGAGCCTTTGGATCTTGACTGAGTACTTGAGTACTTCCAGAGAGAAGTTAAGGATAATCTTACCACAGATGGGGGTTACAGATAAGCTAATTGCAAAGAGTCATATTTTTTGGATAGTCATTACAAATAATGTAGCTAATTTTTCATGAAGCTTTAAGATAATTATCCTCAGGATATAATAGATATTGTATACAAAAATGCAATAAAGTTTATTAGGAAAAAAATAATTTTCTCATAGTATATTTATAACCAAACTTAAGTCAGTGATGTTTCTACTATCCTTTTTCTAATTTTTAGTGGGTAAATTCAAATTGTTTTTTTTTTCTTTCAAAAGGAAGAATTTATAACCTTCATTTAGACTTGATCATTTTCTGCAAGAGCAAGTGGCTTAAATAACTAATGTGGCCTTTGTGTAGTTCCTAGGAGATTATAGCTTTGCCTATGGCAGTGTTGGAGGCATGTTAAATTGTTTCAGAAAAAAAAAAATAAAGCAAAATATTTCTCTTTGGGCTTTGCCCTTTCCTGTCCTCTTGTATTGATTATGTAACTATGTGGCCATGTTTTGAAAATGAAACTTCCAGCCCCTGGCTAACTTCTGATAAGAGGGGTTTCTCAGGACCCTTGAAGTTTTACTTTTTAGTCTGTTGGCAGTGATCTAAGGATGCTGGACAATTACTTAGCTGTTCTAGACGATGTGTTTTCTCCTTTCCTTCCCTTCCTCTTTCTCTCCTTCTTACCTTCACTCTTCTTTTCAGCTCACTGTGCCAAACAACATTGATTTATCATACTCCGCTGATCATAATATTATTATTCTTTATGTTTAATTGTTAGTCTTTTTTTTCCTGTAACACTGGAAACTAAGTAGTTTATAAAGAAAAGAGGTTTATTTAGCTCATAGTTCCAGAAGTCTAAGAGCATGGTGCTGGCATCTGCTTGGCATCTGAGGAGGGCTTCATATAACTTCAACTCAAGGCAGAAAATGAAAATGCATGTTGTCATATGCAAAGGAAGAAAAAGGGGCCAACCTCCTGAAATAGTGAGAAAAACATGAATTCATTCATGAGAGCTCAGATCCCATGACCCAACACTTATTCGTGGCTCTGCTACTTTTTTTAAAAATTGATTTTATTATTATTTTTTAAATTCATGACAACAGTGGAATGCATTACAATCCTTATTACACATATAGAGCACAATTTAAGTTGGCTATTAATTTCAGTCTGGATCTGGCAGGGACAAACCACCTTCAAAACCTCAGCAATGTGTGTGCACACACTGTGTTTTAAATAAAATATTTCCTTAGAGAAGAGTACTAGTAGGATGTTACAAAACCTCAGATCTTTGTTTTGGAGATCAGAGGATATGGACACGGCTTCCTCATGTACCCTATGGAATAGTTTATTCATCAAAAAAATTCAATGATAAGTAGAGGTTTTTCAAAGTAGTGTCTTTTGGTATAATTTTCTCAATGTAAATTTCAGTTTGATGTTGCTATGCTTTTCTTCCTTCTCTGCTCCCTTCCTTTTTCCCACCCACATGATCTTATGTTCTGTTTACTTTTTCTTTGGTTTGGTCATATAGGAGATTTAATTATAAAGCCAAAAGAGTTCTTTGTGTATTATGGACATGAGTTCTTGTACATGTATATTTGTATACTATTTACTGTATATTAAGACAGATACATATATGTGTGTTTGTGATACTGCTTTCAAGTCTGTGGCTTTTGCTTTTTTATTTTCTTAATGATATTCTTTGATAACATGAAGGTTAAATTTCAAAAAATAATAGTTTATCAATTTTATCTCTTACAGGTAGTTTTGTTATATCTTATGATATCTTTGTTAACACTGGGTTGTGAAGGCTAGAAATTGCAATATGTGTTCTTATCATAGTGTAGGTAGTTTTTATACTTTTATAAGAATGTAGTTGCACCTATACTCTCATTTTTGTGCTATTGTCATGTATTTAGAAACATAATCTCTGAAATACAATGATTGTTTTAAATAATCATTTGTCAATGACACAACCTCAAAAAGATTTAGGAACTCAAATGCCAACTCAGTTATTGATGAGTTTTCTTTCTTATGGTGCATGACTTTCTAAATGACTTAAAATATGAAAAATTTACACATTGTGTGTTAATCTAAATATGTACAATCATTGGTACTCTTTCTTCCTTTCCATAGATTTGCCGTGTGTGTGTATATGTTTATAAATAAAATTTAAGATGTTGTTTGAAAGAATAATTCCACTTAAGGCTACTGGGTTAGTGTTTATCTTGTTGGTGATCAATTTTTTTTTTGGTGAAAAAATAGCAGCTTCATAGCAAATTGCTCAGATAACCTTCAATTATTTAGGAAGTTATGTACTATCAAAAAATGAACCTCCCCTCAGTAATGGAGTTGGCCTTAGAGCGGCTGAAAAAGCTCGGGGTGTTTTCTGCTGTGCTTTGCTGATGGAACTACTTTTGAATCTGGGGTATAGCTTTGTGACCTGAAGTGGTTTCTGAAAACTAACAGAAAATGCATCTTGGCTTTGTTTCCACAGCTCTTCTTGGATCCCTCGTGGAAACTACATAGAGTCTAATCGTGATGACTGTACGGTGTCTCTAATCTATGCTGTGCACCTTAAGAAGTCAGGCTATGTCTTCTTTGAGTACCAGTATGTCGACAACAACATCTTCTTTGAATTCTTCGTAAGGCCTTTTATATTCTAGACTCCACTTTTTGAAAGGCATTCCTGTAAATTTCCCTTAATCTTTGTTGCACTCCACTTTATATGCCTTCTCCTTTTTTTGTGTGTAAGTGACCCTGTAAGTATTAAAGGAAAAAGTTAATTTTTTTTCTATAGCATTTGAGTTTATAGTTAATATTGTTTCTTTATTTTTGCACTCTCACCTTATAGTGTAATATTGGCTTGTTTTGCTTCTGGTTATACTCATTAGACAACTGATTTAGACTGTGTGTGACAAATATTTTCCCCAAGATTCATTTTAACTTAATTTTTTTATGGCTGAAAATGCTATTTTGTTAAAAATATATTTTGCCAATTTTAGTTTTAAATTAATTTTTTCTCTTTGTAGTTTCAAATATATATATATATATATATATATATATATATATATATATATATATAACTATACACATACATATATATTCTTTTTTTACTGATTAGAATTACTTAAATGTTTTCATGGGCAATTGTTTAAAAAAGAGAAATTAACATATTTTCTGATTCTGTGAATTTTTACAGTCCAAAGAAATTTATGAATGCGATAGTTGGTGCATCTGATCTTAAATAGGATTATAGAATATAGAATACTATGATAGACTAACAGAATAATGACTGGAGTTATGTAACTATTTTATGTAAACTGTACTTAATCTAGCAAATATTTATTGTGGCATGGACTCAAAACACTTGAGAAAATGTTTTCTGATTAACTTCTTATACAAATAGTGTGTGTTATAGTAGTAAATGGGAGAATATCTTGGAAAATGTTCCCATGCGCCAGATTTAAGGAACAAATGTACTAACAGTTCTGACACAAATGTGTATTGTCGTTGGTAATGGGTATTTTACATCAAAAGTTTGGTGGCAATAGATATTTTCCAGGAAACTATGAGCCTTAGATTTGAAGTCAAGAGATTCTGACTCTATCCTGCCTCTATAATTGTTAACTGTGTGTTCTTGAGCAATGAAATTAACTTTCCGGTCCTTGGCATTCCCTTGTGTGAGAGGACACTTGAAGGAGCCTCCTAGCACTAATATCCTTCGATGAGCTTAAAATGTTAAGCAGTGTTCAAACAGATTTACCTTTTAAGCTACATTTTGTTTGCAAAACTCTTCTCCGGGTAAATGATTTTCTATTTCTTGGGACATTTCAACAGTATTGCTAAGACTAAAATAATGTTGAAAGGCAAGACAGTTATCTAATTGTTAGAATAAACGTGTATTTTTGTAGTTTTGTATACTCAATAAATCCCTTGAGAGCTGTCAATAAGGGTACTCTTAGGGCATAATGTTTCGTTACTTCCATTTCAATGGTGCCTCTGTTCTTCTGGTTTTAGTCTGAAAGGGGATGGGAAATTCATGCTCCTTTTATTGATGCTTCAGCTTTATAGGTTGCAATTTATTGACTCAGAGGGTTAATACCTCACAGTCATCATGCTCCTGGTTAATAGAAAAGAAGCATTTGAAGGCTGAAAGATATAGTTGTGCTCTGACAATTATACATGTGAGCATCATGTAATTTGAAGCATTCATCCCAACCAATTTTTAAAATGCTGAAACTGAAACCTAGAGAGAGTAAGTGATTGCACCAAGATTATACCTTTACTAGCTTCAGAAAGAGTAATGGAGCTCAGGTCATCTGGGTGGTGGTGGAACTTCACGGTAACACATGATGTCTGCCTTCAGCTATAAAAAGCTCTCAGCTTGTCTATATACTGCCCAACAGAGGAATATTCAGGACCCATGTCCTCTCCCGAATGAAAGAAATATGAAAACAGTCAGTATGCTTATGATATAAATAAGACAAGAATTCAATTAAAGTAAATTTCCTTGGTAGCAGATATTCTCTGGTATTTAGATAGTAAAGGGATCCTTTTTCTCATAAGTAAGCCTTTAGAAAATATAACTTCTAGAGAAATTTTAATGTTTGTAAATTAGTCAGGAGGATGACCAAAGTAGCAAAACAATTTAGAGAGAGAGAGCCTTTTCTTTCTGCAGAAGTACAGATAATGAGATCTTATTTTAACTTGGCTCTGTTACTGAGTACTTTGCAATACTGAAATGTTGACCTAACTTTTGGATACCTTTGTTTTCTTCATAGACCTGAAAGAGTATTGTCCTAACTCTTAAGCATTTTGCAAGAACTGAGTGGAAAGGTCAAGGTTTTTGGTGTTAAAGATTATCTGTAGTCATTTGAATTGGAATGGCAAATAATTAACATTTACACTGTGTTATATTTTTTGTTGCCCGTGACCAAAATACCTGAAAGAACAACTTAGAATAGAAAATGTTTATTTAGGCTGATGGTTTCAAGGGTCTCAGTGGAGTGGTCGCTGACTCCATTGTAGCCCCGAGATGAGGCTGAACATCATGGCTGAAGGCCATGGTAGAGAAATGCTGCTCAGCTCATGGTGAGCAGGACACAGCAAGAGCAAGGGAGGCTCTAGCAAGGAAATATAAACCCCAAAGTCACACCCCCCAGATACACCCTTGTTCCTTTGGCCACACCCTATCTGTCTACAGTCCTCACCCAGATAACAGTCCCTTCAAAATATGAACAAATGAAATGGATTAATCTGTTGATTAGGTTACAGCTCTCATAAACTAATCATCTCACCACCTGCATTAATAGGGCTTCAGGGGGATCATATCCAAGCCATAACACCCCCAAATAACAATTTGGAACTTTCATTTTGGCTGTGGCCACTTAATCTGTGCATTGAGTCCTGGGGAAATGAAAACAAAGCAGTCTTTACTTACTAACGTAAAATTTCACTTTCAGGAATCCACATATCATCTTGTTTACTTTTGTATACTTGGACTTGCCTGGTAAATGCAGTTGCTAAAACATTTTGATAAGCTGGGTACATTTTTTTTGTAATGATTTTCAATGATAATTGTTTCCCCTCTCTCTCTCCTCATGGGCTAGTCTTTTTGTCTCAATGAGACAGTTTACTTAGAACTGCTCACCCATGTGTGCAGCTATCACTTTGTCTCCAGAGGTCTCTGGTGTGTTTAGTTGTTGAGAATTACTGGTGGCCACCATTATTTAGTATGTACAGAAAGACATTCTTGCAGCCTGTGCTGGACTATGGAATTTAGTGAAAGCCATTATTCCAGAATCTTTACTGAGACCCTGTGTTTAATCCACAGATTCAAAATGATCAGTGCCAGGAGATGGATACCACCACAGACAAGTGGGTAAAACTCACTGACAATGGAGAATGGGGCTCTCATTCTGTAAGTCTCTTTGTTTTTCCTTCTTCTTTTCTACTAATCCCATTCTCCTCCTTCCTTTTCCCAGCCTTTTCTAAGCATTCATTTTAAGAAAAGAAAAAGAATTTTTTTTTTAATTAATTAAGATAATTTCCATTTAGGGAAGAAATTGCTCCTAAGTTTCTTCAACTCATATTTTTTATTTTTTAGGTTATATTTTCCTACATTTTATTTTCTCCTTGTATTTCTTTCTTTTTCTGTTCCCATGATATTTCAACTTTCTTCCCTTTCCAAGAAGGAAGTCTATTCAAAACCAATATACAAAATTGACAAAATCTAAGTATGTAAATTTTGAAATGTGCCTGTTTCATGCAATACAATCATCGTCACTTGTCATTGGAAAGATCTTTGAATTCCTTTCATCTGACCTTCTCTTCGGTGTCCCCAGCAAGTGATTTTCAAGCTTGTTTTGTTGGACACTGTGCTTTCTCCATTGTTGGACAGCTCTCTGATTTTCACAAAATCCATCCACATTGGGCTTCAACCTGCTTCATATGTATTTGCCTCCAGTGGTCAAATTCTACTCTTTTCAGTTACATTAAGTATAGTAACTACCTATTTCTTCACAGGGCATCTCTTTAAATACTTGAAGGCAGGATTACCAGATATGTGATTTGGTGAATCAGTTATTACTTGAGGTACTTTCCCTTTGGAGTATGGCACTATTTAAAATCTATCTCTGGCTTATAGTTGTATTTCTTTGAGTGATTTGCTTAATCTCTTAGCATCTGAATTTTTTTTTCCATTTCAGAAATGGGAGAAATGTTGCTGAATTAAATGGGGTGATGTCTGGGAAGGGACTCACATAGTGCCTGTAATGTAGACTGAGTTATGTTTCAATGAATCCATTCTTGCCTTTTTGATTGTGGCAGTTGCCAAATCCTTGAATGATTAACACAGTGTACCCTTGCAGAGGTTTTCTTTTTATATGTATGTTTGAAAGTAATGTTGGTACCACTTAATATTCACTCATCTAAACACCCAGTCAGCTGGGCTTTGAAAATACAAATAGCCCTTGGCAACAGATATGCTTTCTTCACTTTTGAGTACACGTGGAAAGTACTGAATGCACTTAACTTCTCTAGCTCTCAGGCCTGATGAAGTAGTTGGGTTCATTAATTTTACATAACTTGAATTTGACCAGCCAAAGGGTGCATACAAAAATAAAAGTAGCAAAAGACAAAACAATAAGCCCTTAAAATTGGCTCACTTGCCTGTATCAGCATGAAACTTAACAGAAAATTAGTTTAATTTATAATTAGAAAAATGTTCCAGTGGCAAAGGGATCAAATACTAGACACTAGGGATCAAATACTAGACATAGTGTCACCGAGGTTCAGTTAATTGTAAGAGTTAAGTTATTCTATAAGAACAGTCCTATTTTATTGCTATTGCAGTATTGTTTTAAAGTAATTTAAAAAGCAAGCTGTATTAACCTATTTCTATTGCTATAACAATATGCCCAAGGTTGAGTACTTTATAAGGAAAAAAAGGTTTATTTAGACTACAGTTTTAGAGGTTCAGGGGCATGGCGGCAACATCTACTTGGCTCTTATGGGGTATAATGATCACAGGATAGTGATTTATAGGAAGCCAGAGATTCCAGGGGAGATCCAGGATTGCCCTTTTATAGCATCTTGGTCTTGGAGGAACTAACTTGCTCTATGAAACAAGCAGTAATCTCTTTCTAGGACAGTGCTCCCAATGGTATAATTGCCTCCCACTTGCCCCACCTCTTAAAAGTTTCACTACCTCTTGATACCACCAAACTTCCAATGCATGAACCTTTAGGGGACACACTCAAGCCACATTCAGGTCCTATACAAACCATAGCAGAAGCAAGCTTATTCTCTTGCTTGTTTGTTTTCTGAGCTTAAAGAAGTACTTGTGAATGGCAGTCTATAAATATGCAAGTGGGCTGAGTAACTTTCACCCTTTACAATGAATCCTCTTTAAATATAAATATAAGACTTCATGTAATGGTTCGAAAATCATTTTGTGTTTTTGTTCAGACTTGAAGGGTTCTTCTCCTTGTTTCTTAGTATATTTTGTGGATTGGAAGACTATTTTATTTTTTAAAGAAAATGTTGTCTTCAGAGCTAAGGTCAGAATTAACTGGAGGCTTAAATTTGTTGGTTTTAAATTAATAGTGTTTCCTTATAATGCATAGAAAAGTATGTGAGTGAGAAGCTTTTGTGTGTGATTGGAATTGGAAACAGCTTGGCTTATCTGACCTGAGTGTGTTGTTTCTTTGCACAGGTAATGCTGAAATCAGGCACAAACATACTGTACTGGAGAACAACAGGCATCCTTATGGGCTCTAAGGCTGTCAAGCCTGTCTTGGTGAAAAATATCACAATTGAAGGTATTTCACAGCATTCTGTTTTAGCAGTCATTTATCCAGTTTTATAGTTAAAATATTTATTTTAACCAGTACTGGCTGGCTCAAGGTGCATAGCATGAGAACTATATTAGGTATCATACAGGTCTAGAGACCCTGGTTTTACTACTAGAAAATTCATTGATTCATAGTTTACTTTTTCCTGACACCTTTGAACTGAATTATTTAATCTGTGTAAAGACGTAAACATGATGATGATTTTACGTATCTGTAAATGAAGTTTCTCTTTTAATGTGAGACTATATTCATTCAATATCTACTGTGCCAGACTTTGAGCTTACTTGGAGAGTTAATAATCTGGTCACTGCTATATCCATAAAAATAATAATCTTGAAAACATCTCCACCAGACTGTTTCATTAAGCCTCTTGGGCCTCTCAGGACCAGCTGGGTCATTTCTGGCCCAGGTGCACATCTAATAAACCCTGCTATAGTTTATGCTCAACTAGGGGTGCTTTTAATTAAAGTAGTGATTCTTCTTTATTAAAGTTTGGCTTATGTTTTACTGTGTTCTAATTGTGCTTGTTCCGGTGATGTTAACTAATTAGTCACACGGACATCTGCTGGCCAACACTGGAATTACAAACTGGAAGACCAGCCATTTCTAGGATCTTATAGGTTTTATCTGTTACTTAATAAGTAGTGAAGAAAAAGGGAACAGGTCCCACAAAGAGCAGAGAATTGTAGGGGACCTTAGAGTTTATCCCATTCTGACATAGTAGATTTGTATTTGATGAATCATTTAATATGTTTACTTCTATAAAAATTCTTAAGTGTTTGCTGTACTAATTGTGTTTGATTCAGTAGATATCCCAGCTCTTTGCTTTCTTAGTGCTGAATTAATGAAATAAAAGGATTGGGCTGATCTTACTATTGATATTTCCCTCTCATTTCTGTGTAGAGTCAGTATACAGGCACTGCCTGACTTGCTGATGTGGGTCTTCCTTCCATGCCCTGTTTTTCATTTCCACACAGGTGTGGCTTACACTTCAGAATGTTTTCCATGTAAGCCAGGGACATTCAGCAACAGGCCAGGTTCATTCAACTGCCAGGTGTGTCCCAGAAACACCTATTCTGAGAAAGGGGCCAAAGAATGCATAAGGTGTAAAGAGGATGCCCAGTTTTCAGGTAGGGCTGACATATACTCTCTTTTCTTTATAAATTTATTTTGATCAAGTATACTGATCAAATATACTGTTACAAGCTAGCATTGGTGGGTCAGATGTCAGCATGCTAAAGAGAATCAATATTGAATGGAGAAAAACATATCTGTCATTTCATCTCTTTCCATGTGGGGTCTCCCCTTTTGTCTATGTTTTTCTTTTATTTCATACTCCATAGGTAAGAGCTATGGCTATGTTTATATCAATCTAACCCATGTTTTACTTTTAGGTGATTTGTGGGCATAGATATATACTGAGAAACTTTTAATTTTATTCATATTTCCAGTATTCAATGATAATGAACAAAATATAGTGTCTCCTGAGAGCACTATGATATGCTCCATGTATATCATGTAGGCCTTTATTTTCTGTAGGTCTAGCTAATTCTACCTAAATTGCTTTGGTAAGATTACTTTTTTATTTAACTTTGTTGTTGTTGTTGTTCTGATTTTTGCCTTTTCTTAGAGTCACAATGGACCATTTATGAATTTTGTTTTTTTGTATGTGTGCATGCGTTGCAGAGGAAGGATCCAGTGAGTGCACGGAGCGCCCACCCTGTACCACAAAAGACTATTTCCAGATCCATACTCCATGTGATGAAGATGGAAAGGTATCAGCAGTGTTCAGAAAAATCCATCCCATATTTATCCAACTCTTTCCCCAATTTGGACACACTCCAATTTGTTCATGAGGGAGATTTCATAGAGGATTTCTGAGTTTAGGTGTTGGAGCCTGCCTTCCTGGCTTTCATTTCCAAATCTGTTACTTATTAGTTCTGTGGGTAAATGATTGGGTGCCTCTAAATCTTAGTTTTTTTCATCTGTAAAATGGGGTTGATATCAATACTGTGAGACTGCTATGATAATACATGAGATATTCAGTATAAAGTTCCCAACTCAGTTCCTGGCATTTAGTGAGCCATGAATTAGTCCTATTTTTATTTTTTGGTACTAGGGATTGAACACAGGGGTGCTTTACCACTGGGCTACATTTCCAGTCCATTTTGATTTTTGATTTTTTTTAAATTTTGAGACAGGGTCTCACTAAGTTGCTTAGGACCTCACTAAGTTGCTGAGGCTGGCCTCAAACTTAAGATCCTTCTGCCTCATCCTTCCCAGTCGCTGGGATTATAGACATGCACAACCACGCCCAGCTGATGACTGCTATTTTTAACAGTTATATTTTTTTTTCATAAGTAATGCCAGGAAGAAATCAGCTTTCAAATGTGTACTACAACTCACTAGATGAAAATATCTTATAACTTCTATTTAATTATTTGGCTAATCAGCGGTTGTATTAATAAAAGCTACGTAGATGACTCACAATTCTCATAATTAAATAATTAACGTATACAATCCCACGTCAGAAGAGAAACTGAGATTAAAGTGGCTGCTAGGTAATGTTTCTTACATATTTGTACCTTTGAAATAATGACATGTTTTAAACTTACTTTGGAAAACACACATAATTGTCAGAAGAATTATTCCTTTTTCCCCCCTTAATTTTGCATTCCCAAGTTCTAATCTGTACTTTTTATATTTACATTGATTATCTTACCCTTATATCTTTATTTTTTAAAAGGACTCTTGTTTTGAATGCTTAAGACCAAATACATTCCAGTTTAGATTAGTGGAAACTTAAAATGGTAAGAAGTACAAATATCACTTTCAATTAGAACAGTGACTCAAACTAACAGCTGTTAATTGACAAGGAGTTGGAAAATAAGGTCTTGGTGGCCCTACACCAATGGCCGAGTAAGAGTACTTACTACTAGTGGATTGAAGAGTGATTTGGTACAGTATTTTTAGATGAACTTTTATTAGCTAAACTTAACAATAAGCCAGGCAAAGGTAGTTTATTCTATGTAATCATTAATTCTGCATTACGGGGACTTAAATACATTCTAATATGCAAAACGATTTATCTGAGCTAACACAAAAAATATACAAAAGTCATATTTCCTATTTTAATAATGAGTATAGTGTCCATGATCAGCGTGACAAAATCTAGTTGCTGTGGGCCTAACAGAAGTGAGAGCATATGTGAATGTATTGTATGTAGAGTGCACTCGCACACACACTTGCCACTATGTGCCCATGCATGTGGATTGTGTTTTTCCATTGAGTCTGGAGGAGCTCTAAACATGTTCTTTGTAGATTTTTATAGAACAAAATAGTTTACTAGAACTCTATAAATTCAGTGTTTTATTTCATTTTGTTTTTAGAGAGACTTTAGACTTATTTTCAGATAAATGTTTCTGGCTTCAGAAGTAGACAGGAAAGCAGTGGCTATAGTGCTAATATACAGATACACACACACACACACACACACACACACACACACACTTAGATTATGGAAGGGAATTCAGGATTTTTTTCTATTTTTGTTTGTTCTAGCACTTTCATTTGTTCCAGTTTCATATTTTTAAAAGGTATCTGACTTTGCTGAGACCAGCCTAATGATTTGCCAGTAGTTTAAAGATGCTTCACAGGTTGTTCAACAACTATGTTTGGTTCTCTTTGTCCTGTGATCTCTGTGTCTCTTTGACCTCTCTTTCCCCTTTCTTGGAGAAGATCATCAAATTGATTAAATAGGAAAGCAGCTGTTGAGGTATATATATTCTGAATTTAGAATTTATAGGATATACATTTATGAATTTATTTTTAATCTTATTTCAAAATAAATTGCTTTCTGCCTATAGAGGAAATTTTTTTTCAGGAAAATGCTAATAGGTAATTGGAGTTATTCTAATCTTGATGCTCTCATTAACATCCTAAACATGTGGAATACCTACTCATTTATTTATTTAGTGAATCTATACTGAGCACTGGTTACACACAGAGTACTGGGTAATAAGGGCGGAGCTTAGGATAGAGAAAAATGTAAACATCTTCATAGATGTGGAGCTCTGTAACTTCAGTGTGCATCAGACTCACCTGGAGGGCTAAAATGCTTTTTTTGTGTTGTAAAAAGAGTGATTCTTTCAAGCACATAGAAAGCATATACTCTTAAATATCATGAGAAGGTCTGACAAGATTTCCTGTCTATACTTGGAATTCCTACAGAATTTTGTGCATGCCTCTCTTGATACTGGGTAATCATTGGTTTGATAGCATTTTGAAATCAGATCACTATATTGCAAATTGACCATTTTCTCCACTGATCTCTCAGCTTCCTATAGATAGAGAATGGTTCTTACTCATTTTAAAAAAACATCTCTAAACTATATAATAATAGCTGGCACATAGGAGGTAGTGATACATGTTAAACAAATGAACGCGAGACTTAGTAAATAAATGTTGATTATGTTGATTACCACTTGTGTATTATATTCTGTCCTTTGGATAAAGCTTGAGAAAATTTTGACAAAATGGGCAAAATGTAGTAGAGAGAGGCCCGTATATTTTATATAAAATATGATTGAAGAAGCTGGGGCTATTTCTTTTAGTTGGGGAAAGACAGTGGGATGGAAGAATCATGTTCATCTTTGTGACATTTCTTACATGTCTTGCAGAGATTTGGTCTTTCTCAGGGGATACCCATGACATTTGTATTCCTCTTGGAAATGATGATGATGACAATAATTATAGTAATAGTAATGATAGCATTACTACCAAAAGACACTATCACTATCATGTACATGTTTATGCATGTACTCACTTCATATCTGTGTGTCCACACAAACATTTCCTCTAGTTGTTTATTTCAAGAGTTGTGCACTTTAAACATATTATACCCAGTTTGTTGATGAGGAAACTGCACACTGAGGTGAAGTTACTTCCCTAATGTAACAGCTAGAAAGTCTTAAGGCTGGAACTCTCACCCAGATTGTTTTCAAGTCCAGTGCTTTGTATCCCTTTCATGCGTTTTATTTTAGATATTATAACAGTTTGTGAACCTTTCTCATCACTATTAGTCTATAATCTCTTTTGGAGCAAACAACTTGTCTTGTTAATATTTAAATCTCTCACTGTGCTTTGTTCTAATCTAGGTACAGAAAAATTTCCTAAATAGTTATTTTAAGCACGTAAGGGAAATATTAGAAAGAAGAAATATACTTTTTCATGTTATTTCATGAGTCAAATTTTGGGCTAATCAGGTGATCTTACAGAAGGTAAGCTCCAGCCAGAGGTAATAGTGTTCAAAGAGGCATAGTTTCCCACTCCTAAAATGACATGTCTTGTCAAATAGGGAACTTTTTATAAGGGTAGAAAAGCTCTTGGTAGGGAAGGATGGTTTAGAAGGAAGCCTTCTTAGAGGAGGTGTTTTAGTCAGCTTTTTTACTATTCTGACTAAGGGACCTGGTTAGAATAACTATGGATGAGGGAAAGTTTATCTGGGGGCTCACAGTTTCAGAGGTCTCAGTCCAAAAATGGCTAGCTCTATTCCTTGGGGCTCAAGGTGAGCAGGACATCATGGTGGAAGAGTGTGGTGGAGGGAAGCAGCTCACATGATGTTCAGAAAGCAGAGAGAGAGACTCCACTTGTCAGATTACAAAAAAATATATATACCCCAAGACCATGCCCCCAATACCCATCTCCACCAGCCATACCCTACCCACCTTCAGTTATCACTCAGTTAATCCCCATCAAGGGATTAATTCACTGATTGGGTTAAGGCTTTTATAACCTAATCATTTCTTCTCTAAATCTTCATGCATTGTCTCACACATGAGCTTTTGGAGGATACCTTACATACAAACTATGTAGACATCAGTGTACATGCACAACTGCTTTACCTTTGAGTTCAGGAAGTTTGTGGATCATAAGTTGCTAGTATTTTTGAATCAATTTGCCTTGCACTTTCTTTCCTTTTTTGTGATATCAAAGATAGCACAAATTACTGCAAATGCCCAATATCTGTAACATAGTACTTCTGAATTATCCTGTAGAGATAAGTGTAGGAGATATTTTAAAAATAGGGTATAAAAGATTATGAGTATTTGATATGAGTTTGTTCACATAGGATTTAAGCAAGTTAAATATACCTGGAGCCTATGATGCTTGATTAGGATGGTGGGGAAGCAATATGGTACTTCTCAGCAACAATGGGTGTCTGAACTTGTTTAAAATAAAAATTTGTCTTTAAAAAAATACAGACATTTTAAAGAACAGCTTATTGAAAGAGAATTCTCACATAATGTATTTTGTCATTGGGCTGCAGTGCCTTGCCAGGGTAATTTTTCCTGCACAGGAGGGGATAAGCCTCCTGAGAAAACAGTCTGAAATAATTAGTGAAGAAATAAAAGAGTCAAAGAATAGGTTTAAGGCAGAGTGCTTGATAGGTCTAGCCCACACAGGAGCTGGAGCTACCAATTGAAAAATGGCTTGGGTGGTTTACTTAAGGGGGTATATCAAAGGCAGGGATAAGGTTTCAGGGGTGGAATCTTGTTTCAGGATGTCTTGCAGTCAACAAATTGATTGGCATGTTGGCAGGTTATACCCATCTCTGAGAGCTTGTGTGGCTACAGTAGGTCACCCCATCTCTGGTGCTATGTGGGACCCGGCAGAGATGAATAGGACTCACATGTATCTGGGCAATCTTACCAGCATAATTGCCACTGGAAGTTCCCAAATACCAGATTTTCTTATTCAATGGGCGTCCATGCATATTTGGTCCACACATAATCCATGTAGGGCTCTTGACAGTATTTCAACCACTTAAAGTATGCAATATGGTGTTTTTAGTATATTTATCATGATCTAATTTAAAACATTTTCTTGCCTAAAGTTCTGATGAGAACCTCCAGTTAAATCCCTGTGTTGTCACCCACATCGAGGAAGATGACCACCAAGGTTGTCAAGAGCTTAGAAAGGGAAGAAGGAGATAACCATATGAGAAAACAGAAAAGCAGCAAAGCTTTGTAGGAAAGGAATTCAGATAGAGGCTTCCGAGTAGCAAGGTAGGCTGAGGACCTACTTCAAGCAGGCGTGGATATTGAACATGATTTTGAAGGAGGAGTCAAATACAACCTGGCAGCATCTTGTGGGTCATTCAGGAGAGACAAATGATGAATGCCTTTAGCAACTGGAAATATCAAGGTTTGAAAGAGGCAGGGAGGCCAGCATTAACTTGCTTGGCTGAGACCACCTGTGCCAGGATAACCTGGAGCAACAGGCAGCTAGCTTAGTGGCCATGGGTAGACCCCTTTTAAATCACATGTAATTCAGCTCTGATAAATTCATCCAATCTATAAAGGATTAGTACACCTATACAGCAACATTTGAAAGAGGAAAATAGTTACTATGGGCAAATTCAGTCTCAAAAGTTGCATATATGTTAGTCCTCCTGGACTTGAACTTTATTTAATAAGGGAGCCAGTATCCAATAGATTTCTCCGTGTGTGTGTGTGTGTGTGTGTGTGCTCGCGCGCACGTGTGTGCATTTGTGTGTGTTTTTTAAATGACAGAAATACACAGGGGCATTGTACCTCTTTTGTAATCTTAATGGCAATCTGGTAAATTTTACTCTAGTAGGGTTGTGATTTCACGAAAACATCTTATAATTACATATCATAGAATGAATTGTTGATTTTTCACCTGCATTATAAGCCATCTGGTGTTAAGTGTCATTAATATTAATTATTGTCTTTCCTAGTCAGCTGAAGTTGAAAGCATCTGTTCCCATTAGAAACAGAGGCAGAGAATCAATCTGCCATGTGAGGCAAGGGGCTTTGTAAACAAAACTTTTGCTGCAGAGTCAAATGTAAAATTTGACTAATCAATATTTAAATGCTTAAAGGTAGTGCACATTTTCTAATTTGTAAAAATTTAGTTTGCTTGCATTGGAAGTTACATGGTTAGCTGACTTCTCAAAATGGATTTACACATCTTATTATTTTTATCTTTGCCAAACTGTCACTCCTTGACTAGTTCTACTTCACCATTTACCAGTTGTACATGGCTTTTGGGTGGGTTATTTAACAGCTCTGATCTGGATTGTTTCATCATTTCTAAATAATATGCAGAGTGATTGTGAAGATTATATGGTGGTGCACAGTATCAACACCCATCCCCTGCATGTGGTTACCAACTATTCTCAACTGTATAGTAGCTCACGTTTTTATTAATGCTGAAATAAATCAGGAAATAAATGGGCCAGAATTTGAAATTCATTGTTATTAAGCCAGAATTTAAAAAATCCAATCCTTGAAATGTAATGATGTTTCATTTTCTTAGAATCACTGAATTTTACATTGCCTTTCCTGAGGGAAGTTGAGAACCCATTATAGAGATAGTATGTAATTAACTTTTTTAGCTATTTAGGAAGCCCCATCTGGAGCTGCCATTATTTTATAGATGGTAACAGAGGCCTTTGGGTGAAATAGCTGGTTAAAATTTATCATGATACAGTTATAAAGTGAATGTGAGAAAAGGGAGATACCAAAAAATATTGTTTATAATCATGTTGAGACATATAATTTTATAGCATTTTCTTAAGCATCCTTGTTCACTGGGCAATCTACTCTTCCTAATACTTGAGAATAAAACTGAGGGACCTAAGGGCTTACTATACATAATTTTCTACTAACTAGAAATAATTGTGGAAAATTGCTTTTAATTTTGATTCTTCTAGTTCAGTAGTAGACTTCCTATGGCAGAAGTTGTTTTAAAGGATTAAAAACATATTCAGCAGATTATTAGACATATGGGAGAAATGTTTAGTCTGATTTTCAAAAGCTATATTTTGTTATGAAAGAGTTTGTTTATTTTTCTGTTTACATCAGAATACCTTTTTTCCCCTGGAACATATCAATTTTGTTTTAGAATAGCTAATTCGTTTGCTATTTCTGGTTTCAAAGTGAGACTATCAAGTTTATGATAACAGCTTTTTGGGTTTGGCTGAGTTAGTTATTTTCTTATATCTTGTTTTGTGGGGGTGAGTACAGGTGTGGAAGAGGATAAAGGATGGGGTTTAAAGGACTGTTCTCCCTGAGGGTAGAGGCTGTCTGAACCCTTAGGTTCAGAACACATGAAACAGGGCCTAGAAGCTCCAGAGAAAATAATTTAGCTATAGCTAGACAGACATCAAGTTATTGAAAAAGACTCAGACAGCAACAAATATTTGTGAGCCAGTAGGATTGAAGTAGGAAGCCTTTTCTATTCATTTTGAAAAATGATCTTTTGCCATCACTGTGTGCAAAGTATGGTGTGATGTGCTGTGGCTAGAGGATAGGGAAAGTGCAGTGGAGGTCTCAGATGAGAAGATAAAATCACTGCGTAGAAACCCACAGTTATTGAATAAGGTGAATGACTGGATAGAAGGGTAAGGGCAATAATCAGGTTATCTATATTTTAAAAAGGGATTTCATCATGAGGAATTGCTGTGTATGTGGACCCTAAACTGTGTATGTAGCTTAGGGTAAAAACAATCATAAGGAATGGTCATTTCTCCACCAAACTGCTTTTTCTGTTATTTTGTTATTGATATTTTAGATTTTCTTCAGCTAGCCCTTCTATTCTGCCACTGTTTTCCCATTTCCTAGGCTCCAGTATAGTGTTTTTGTGATAATGTATGCTTGCTCACTTTTTATAGACGCAGATAATGTACAAGTGGATAGAACCCAAAATCTGCAGGGAAGATCTCACCGATGCTATTAGATTGCCCCCTTCTGGAGAGAAGAAAGATTGTCCACCTTGCAACCCTGGATTTTATAACAATGGTTCATCTTCATGTCAACCCTGCCCTCCTGGGACCTTTTCAGATGGAACAAAGGGTAGGATGTCAGCGGTCCATGAGTTGAACCTGTAGCAAAATAAACTTGTTGGACTATTGTGACCTTATTCTAAATTGTTTTTATGGAAGAATTCTTTTTAAGAGACAATTTTCTTATCTTATTGAGACCGAAAGTAGATAATAGCATTGTGAGACCACAATGGCTTATTTAACATATGAAGTGATCTGTTTTAATGGCATGTTGTATGACACTCTCTCAATGGAATAAGTGTAAGTTATGTGTACACATACACTGCAGAATAGTATACCACTATGCAAACAAAAATGCCAAATATATACACATACCCACACATTCTACCCAGAATTTTTTCCAGATCACTTTTTAAAATTTACCAATTTCTAAGGAAATTGGTGGACCAATCTCTCCCCTTTCCACCTCTCTCTCTGTTAATTATGGTTTTGTGATGCTTACAGGAATGAGAAGTTGTCCAGATGCAGTTTAATTTTTTTGTTGTTGTTGTCTTTTTGCCCCACTTGTCTTCTGTAGAATGTAGACCATGTCCAGCGGGAACGGAGCCGGCACTTGGGTTTGAATATAAATGGTGGAATGTCCTTCCTGGCAACATGAAAACTTCCTGTTTCAATGTTGGGAATTCCAAGTGTGACGGAATGAATGGTGAGTTCAGAGACACCATCTTGGCAGCAGATACCATTCTTTTATAGACTCAGCTCTTTAAAACATGCCAAATATAGGCACAAGGAACTTCAGTCTTATTCAGCTATGTGTCCATCTTCCAGGATTCACATTAAAACAGTAAATACAGGCAGATGACCTTCCTATAAAAAACATAAAATGCAGCAGTTACCCCCTTTTCTATACTTTTACTTTCTGCAGTTTCAGTTACCTGCAGTAAGCAGTGGTCTAAAAATATCAAGTGGAAAATTACAGAAATAAACAATTTGGGAGTTTTAAATTGCATGCTATTCTAAGTAGCTGATGAAGTCTCACGCCATCATGCTGTGTCCCACCCAGGATGTGAATTATTCCTTTGTCTTATTACAATGCTGTTCAGCTATACAGTCTGTCCACTGGTTACTTGGTAGCCATCGTAGTTAACAGAGCCACTGTGCAGGTGCCACGTGTTTGTTCAAATAACTCTTTACGTAATATGGACAATTCAGGGATGCCAAAGAGAAGGTGCTGAGTAGTGATGCTGGCAGTTCAAATGTGCTTGAGAGAAGCCAGAAAGTGCTTCCATTAGGTGAAAAGGTAAACATTCTCAACTAAGTAAGGAAAGAAAAATGTTGCATGCTGAGATTGCTAAGATGTGAAATTGTGAAGGTAGAAAAAACTAAATTTGTTCTAGTATTGCTATTTTATTTCAAGCTGCAAAAATTACAGCTGCAGTGTATGATAAGTGCTTAGTTAAGATGGAAAGGCATTAAATTATGGTGCTCAGTTTTATCCAGTTTTAGACATCCACTGGGGTTCTTGGAACATGCCCTGAGAATGTATTAGTTTTGCATTTTTTTTTTTTTTTGGAGTCAGTTTCAAAGTAGATATTGAAGATCACCATTTATGACTATAAATACCAGTATAAAATTTCCAAGGTAACAAAATCTGTGTTGTTTACCCTAAAGAGGAATATGTCAGCATCTCTGTCTTTGGCTCAATACTGTACCATGGTAAAGGATTTATGATCTCAAATTCCCTTTACCATAGAGTCTGTGAGTGTGTTAATTAAATATGTATGATCCCCACTAATCAAAAACTTGAAAATGTGGCTGAGTTCTGTAGGACTGTTACTCAATATTATTGTTTCCATAGTGTTTGTTGGTTGAATGAATCACATTATCAACCTATGTATTTTTAAACTTGACACTAGAGACTGGTACTAAAAATACCAGGGCTTTACACTGAAATGCATCCTTTAATTTTATCAGTTCATTAGTATTTTTATCAGCTTTCCTTTCTCCATATTATACTTGTTTATTATGTAAACACACATGCATGCACACTCACACAAGGCACACTTTTTAAATGCATATGCTTTAAGTTAGTACCTTGCCAAATAGACACATTTGGGATGTAGGAAGTGATATGTACACATGGATAGTGAGATTGGCAAATAATATGTCTTTGAATAATATTGATTAAACAGATGAGTGAAAGAGGGAAAGATAAGACCTTAATATATCAAATGTGAAATATTCCTCTTTTTAAACTAATAATCCCAATTTTAGGAATTTATTCTGAGGCAGGGGGAAGAAAAAATATCACAGTTATTATCTGGCCATGAAGGTTTATATTCCTAAAATATGTCCTGTGATTGAATTCTAAGTATATGAAGTTAAAACCTATTGAAAAAAATAAAATCGGGAGGACCAGAGTATTGAATGAACTATAAAAGGAGTAAGGTGTGTGTGTGTGTGTGTGTGTGTGTGTGTGTGTGTGTGTTGTGTATTCACTTGGTAGATGAGATTACATGGAACTTTTATATGATCTTACCAAGGCTTTACTCTAACTCTCTATGACAATATTGATTTACTTGCTTACTCTTTTACTTAGAAGGTATATTTTTTATATTTCCATTAAGTTTTACAAATGTTAAATTATTTTAAAAGCATGAAGCTCTGTTGTAGTAGTGTGTGATAATGAAATAGTAAACAGTAAAGAACACAAAGATGCAAGGTGGTGTATGTTTCTGTAATGTCATAGCATCCACCTTGTGTGAGGAGCAGCACTCCGAGGAGGATCCAGTGAGAGGTGGATAGCTTGCCTGTTGGGACAGTTGCTGCCCATGGAGTTAGAATGGGTGTGGTTTGACTGACTTGACTGTGTGGCTTGGAATGCTTTGAGGCTCATCATTCTCAGTATGAATTCTGCATAGTTTTAGAACAGATATGGAGAAGTAAATTTTTGTGTATTGGAATTATGTTTAAAAGGAATTCCAATGCAGTCATTATATGGATTCTATATAAAAAATAATTTTACAATCTGGTTCAGGAATTTTTAAATCCTATTTTCCAACTCAATAGTAACTTCTGGGTATTATACCAAGGAAACAATGTGATGTAAAGAAGGAAATCATATCAAAAGATATTAATTTTAGTATTTATAAGAGGGAAAAGAGGAAAAACTGAAATTTCAACAATGCAAGTATGGCTAAATAAATTATGTAATAACCATCTAACATTATTAAGTTATGAAAACTAGAAGTAAAGAGGATTTTTAATGAGGAAATATTTTTGATATAATGATTTGGATAATGCTAAATGAAAAAAAATCAGAAAATAAAATGGATTATATAGTAAGTCTTAGATGTATTAAACAAAAGTATACAATAGAAAAATCACTGAGAGAAACACCAAAATATTGAGGATATAACTGGGGGGTGGGAGGTTTCTATGAAGTATGAAATTACTCTGTTTACTTTGCTACATTTGGTAAGTGTTCCTCATGGACATATATTGCTTTCAGAATCAGAGTAACAGCAGGAGATATTGTTTGAAAAATATATCCATTTGACCTGATAATTTCTTTACTGAGATTCTTTTTAATAGAAATACCTAAGTACAGAAAAAAACACCAAATGTATTCATTATATTGTCATCTATACTAATTAAAGGCAAAAACAGTCTAAATGGCTAAAATGGATGTGTGGTCAGCGTTGAATGATTTGGTAAATTGTGAAAAATCAATTTTACCTGTCTAGATCATAAAATGTTAATGTAGTTACTAACATATGGATGAATTAAGTACACATAAAATACTTATGAAATGGTATTCATTTATAAAACGTGATATTCAAGGTTATCTGCGGTAGAGCTCAGGGGTATAAAAGCACACATGCACTGAAGGACAGTAAAAGAAACACCTCAATTGTTAATGCTGGTTGTTTCTGATAAGATTATGAGTAATTTTAGGTTTCATCTTTTAAATTTTTTGTAGCCTTAATATTTTTATAGGAAATATAAATATGGTTTTAAAAAACAAAAATTTCAAATATAAAGTGTATATAGAAAGATGGAAAGTGTGGAATTTACTTAGACAAACACAAAATTGCACATGCTCTTGTAAAAATGCACACACAGAAAAAACCTGGAAGGGAATGTCTAAAAATTTTAACAGTTATTAGGGTGTTAGTTTAAAAGTAAATGTTTTTTAAAAAAATTTTTTTAATTTGTTTTAACTAGTTATACATGACAGTAGAATGCATTTCTGTACTTTGATATATCATACATAGATAGGATATAATTTCTCATTTTTCTGAGTGTACATGTTACAGAATCATATTGGTCATGTAGTCACATATATACATACAGTAATAATGTATGTTTCATTCTATTATCTTTCCTATCCCCACATTCCCTCCCCTCCCCTCCCATCATTTCCCCCTGCCTAATCAAAGGTAATGCTATTCTTCCCTAGTGCCCCCCCCCCCCCCCGCCACCTTATTGTGAATTAGCATCCGCATATTAGAGAAAACATTTGGCCTTTGGTTTTGAGGGATTGGCTTATTTCGCTTAGCATGATATTCTCCAACTCCAGCTATTTACTGGCAAATGCCATAATTTCACTCTTCTTTAAAACTGAGTAATATTTCAAGTTTCTGAGATCATTTTAGCTGATAGTGTTCTACATAGTTGTGATGATTGTGAATGGATGAAATGACAACTACCTCACAGTAGAAGGCTGGTGCTTCCTAGGTTTCTGCCAATTTTGATCTGTCCTACTTTTCAGAGCTCTAGTTTAACATTCCTGAGTTGTGTGGTACAACACAGTGACCATTAGCCCCATGTGGCCATTGAATACTTGAATTGTGACTAGTTCAAATTGATGTGTACTGTAAGTATAAAATAAGCATAAGTATATTCAGTGTTTCAGTATGAAAAAGGTGAAATGTCTGCTAATTCTTTATATTGATTACATTGGATCTCTTTATTTTCTGTCGTTGGTGTCTTTCTTGCTTAAACTGGTATGGGCATATTAGTTCCCCAGGGCACTGCCCAACAGAGTCCCCTGTCTGGATGGCTTAAAACAACAGAATTGTATTCTCAACACTTTGGAGGCCACACATCAAAGTTTTACTGGGTGATGTTCTCTGAAGCCTGGAGGGGAAGATCCATTCTTGCCTTTTCCAGCTTCTCATGACCCCAGGTGCTCTTTGGCTATGGCAGTTTAATTTAACTCTGACCTCTCTTCTTCACCTGGCTCTCCTCCTTCTGTGTATGTCTGCATCTTCACATGGTGTTGTCCCCTGTGTGTCTGTCTGTCCTTATTTCCCTCTTCTCCTGAGGACACCAGATGTTTTGGCCCATCATAATGACTTCATCTTAACTTTGTTTTGGCTGCCAAGCCTCTATTTCTAAATAAGGTCCTGTTCACAGGTATTGAGAGTTAGAATTCCAACAAATCTTTTCTGTGATTCAAACCATAGTAATAAATGTTCTGTTTGACCTACTGTTTGGCTAGAGTTGCGCTGAGAGTAGTAGCCGAGTTTTTACAAGGTAGTGCCCCAAACTATACTGACAGTGGGACCAGTTGGGATTCCAAAGAAAGAAGCTCTAGATATTAGGATGATCAGTCCAAAGCACTTTTTAGGAAAACTTACATACTGAGTGTTACAACATAACTTCCCAAAGGCACAGTGAGTTTGGAAGATTCTACCTATGTTTTTCTACACTGAGGGTTAGGACAGAGTTTACAGGAGGGTTTGAGGAACTTGGCTTAGGGACAGGGCTGGTTTATTTCAGAGTTTTGAGCAACAGTGTAAACACTGTATCAGGCTTGGGAATCGTCACCACCCCTGGATTGGGTTCAAGCTTGCTGGAAAAACATGCATCTGGCCAGGTCATGGGATGGTCAAGGAATTCTGTATTTCTTGGTCAGTTCAGAGAGAACATGGAAAACATGGAGGACTCTACAATAGGCAATATGGAAACACAAGAGATGTTTCCTTTCACAGTTATAGTAATCCCTTCCAAATACTGTTCTCTTGATATGCCTTTTAATCCTTCCTTTTCTTTGTCCTTTCCTGCTCTTCTGTCCTTCTTCGTGGCATTTCTGAATGTTAGGAGGCATTCTTAGGAAGCATTTGTGAAGTCTTCCCTTTCACCCTCACCACACAATAGCAGTAAACCTAAAAGCTTCTCATATTATCTCCACTGCAGTCATGAGTATCTCTTCCACCGGACCAGTTTGTTTTATGGTTATTTAACTCTTAGCATTAGGAGTTGATTTGCTTTTTTTTTTTTTTTTTTTTTTTTTTTTCTTTTAACAACCTTTAGATAGCAGAACAATGAGCACTTAGAAGCAGTAGATTAGTATATATTATTTAAAAGACTAGCTTGATTGAGGTCTATTTAACATGCTACCTTTCTATAACTGTTGATTATGTGTTTCAAAAACTACTGAATCACCAATCTAGCACTAATATAAATCCTTAGTTTCTTTCTCTTACTTCTTGAAGTAGTGATTATTGACATTGATTACTATAGACTAGGATTTTCTATCTCAGTGTATTAGAATGAATAAAGACTGTTTAGTTTTTTTAAACTCATGCTTCAGTGAGAAAACTATTGTTGGTTTTACCATTAGATAATTTTATGCAGAACAGTACATTCATAAACTCTTTATTTGTATCTACAAGTTTCCCTATGTATGCAATTTACAACTGACTTAAAAACAGGGAATTCTTTTGGAGTATTTCTAACTTTGAACATAAACACTAATTCCCTTGTAACTTTTATCTTAAATAAAACTATTTTTGAGTATCATTAATGGAATTTTTACTAATAAAAATGTTTTTTTTTTTTTTTTAAATTCACAGGTTGGGAGGTGGCTGGAGATCATATCCAGAGTGGAGCTGGAGGTTCTGATAATGATTACCTGATCTTAAACTTGCATATTCCAGGATTTAAGTAAGGAAAACCAATTCTGATTCCTTTCTGTAAGAATCTTCACACCTGATTCCCTCTAGAAATAGAAGTATGGCTGCCATTATTGCATATATTAGTATTGCAAATCTTAGTAAAATAAGCTGTTACAGAATTATGTATTAAATTTAGGAATATCTGTAGAATCAGTGACTGAGAAACTACAAATGTTTAGTTGTGTGTTGCTGGAGGGAAGCTAAAAATTTTTAGAATATTACATCAAAAGCTATAATAACCATTATTCTTGGATGCTTAATGAAGAGTCTTAGCCTAAGTTGTTTGCAGGAGTATTTTTTGGTTTATTTATTTATTTTCTCAGTTCTATCTGTAAAGGAAGATGTTACAAATTGATTAATCTCATTTTGCTTTTGTCCCCCTTGTTGAGATTTCCCTGTAGAGGTCTTTATTTTTTTTAAATAATTTTTATACCTTTATTTTATTTATTGATTTTTATGAGGTGCTAAGGATTGAACCCAGGGTCTCACACGTGCTAGGCGAGCACTCTACCGCTGAGCCACAACCCCAGCCCTAAGAGATCTTTATTCTTGCTTTAGGATCAATGGGAGCATATACAGCAGGAGATGCAGGCATATTTTCATGGCTGTGTAGACTTCACCTTAGAACAAGGGGGTGGACTTGCAGAATCTGAGTGAGGAAGAAGTTGTGCTTTGGAGGAAGCTATAGAATAGGGAAAGAGAAGAACTACGTAGTTTTCAACTTAACAGGAAAAGTGGCTTAATTTTGTTGTAAAATTGTATTTAGGACATAATGTAAATATTGCAATTTTAATCTGTCACATAGACCACCAACATCTATGACTGGAGCCACAGGTTCTGAACTAGGAAGAATAACCTTTGTCTTTGAGACCCTCTGTTCAGCCGACTGTGTCCTGTACTTCATGGTGGTAAGTAGAAGAGAAGCTTTCAAAGGCAGATTTCAGAATTCTTAGAAGTTTCTAGAAAACATTTAAACATGTCTAAAGAAGTCATTAAGAATTGTGCAAAACAGCCCATAAAGAAGACATTTATTCCTCCTGGGGAGAAATAAGTGAAGAGGCCCAGGTGACTGATAAAGTCCAGGGAATATTAACCTGTAGAAAATTCCTTTGTAAGAAATATGCACCAGCAGAATGAAAATTCTCCTTAATTACCAGTCAGCAATTTAAACTCTTAGGAAGGAGAAGTGTATTAATAAGTAAGAGCAGAAAATAATGAAGGTGTGGAGCATTGGGAAAAAAGAAAAATTTTCTTATTAAATTTAACACATTTAGAAAAAGGACTTTACTATCCACATGTCATAATTTTGCCTGTTTCTTTTCTTACTCCTAGCTTGAGAAAAGTAACAATTCAAAACTCACCAAGAACTCAAATGGATTTTAGGAAATTGTTGGCTAGGATTTTAACATTACTTTTTTGGGGCAGTACTGGCAATTAAACCCAGGAGCATGAAACCACTAAGCAACACCCTCAGTGATTTTCGTTTTTTTATTTTGAGGTAGGGTCTTGCTAAATTGCCAAGGATGATCTCATTTGTGAGCCTCCTGCCTCAGCCTCTCAAGTTGCCGGATTACATCTGTGCATCATGGCATCTGGCTTAACAGTACATTTAAATAGTGACTTCATAGATCTGCTCTGTTTTTGTTTGTGTTTTTCCTCAGCAACCCTTTATTAACTAGTTAATAGATCATTAACGACTTCCACCATAATATACAAGATATGTGGAGATTTGAATGTTTTGTGATTACTAACTACTTAAATGGAGACTAATTTATTCTGAAAAAAAATATTGATTTTATAGCAGTGAAAGAAATTATGGATGATCTTCAATACATCTATTTACCACAAATAACCAATAGGTCTTCAGTTATTCTGGTGCTGTTTCCTTATTTCTTTAATCTGTTAGATGGTGCCATTGCTGAAATTCAAACTATTGTCTTTCAACTAGACTGTCAATAATCTCTTACTTTGTTGTTATGTCTACTCTATCATCTATGCTGCTGTCAAAATTAAAATGTAAATTTCCAGGCCCTATTCTAGACTTACAGGAGCTCTGTGGATGAAACATAGCAGTCTTTATTTGTAAAATATATTACATGTCTATTAATACTGAGTTTGTGCTTTATTTTATATTTTTCCACTCTTTTAGGATATTAATAGAAAAAGTACCAATGTGGTGGAATCATGGGGTGGAACCAAAGAAAAACAAGCATACACCCACATCATCTTCAAGAATGCCACATTTACATTTACATGGGCATTCCAGAGAACTAATCAAGGTCAAGATGTAAGTTCCAAACACTCTTTTTTTTTTAAATACATAAAGATGGTGCCCCCTTGTGGAGATGCACACAAAGAGATCGCACAAATATAGATGAAAAAGACTTAGATTTTTATTCATGTGGAATCAGTCATCTGGCTAAGTAATGGATTGGTGTAAAAATGGGTAACTTATTTTATCTTTTGAGGGTAAGAATGTCTGAAATGTAATAACAATATTTCTTTGAATTATTCTGAATTCTGAACTAATTATAGTTGCTTAAAGCTTAAGAGAAAATCTAATTTTATAGCTATTTAAAAACTTGTCTCTATTAAAGCTTTCTGAGATTTTGAGAAGGTTGGTAACTGTCTTCTTTGTCTGAATTATCTGGTGCTGTTTGATTTTTCTATGATTTTATCTCTTAGGGAATGTGTCAGTACACACAATTGGGTTAACACACAAGATCATTTCCTTTTTTGTATTTTTCTGGCTACATAGACCTCATTCCCCCCTGCCCTAAGTAAATTCCATTGTGTGTTTTGATGGTAGTAGGACTGTTCTTTTTTGTGGGTCTTCGTACATATGACCTTAGCAGGATGAGAACAAGGTGAATATCTTGTTCAGAAATGGCCTTAATGCTGTGGCGGCAAATTAGTGCATTTTCTGTCTTCCCTTGAGGCTTCCAGTGAGGAACCTATTCTTCAGATTTTACCTGATTCCACTTGTTCTTCAGGAGAGTTCAGATCACCATCTTGTGGGTCATGAACATGTGATGGGATCTTACTTCTTTCTTCACTTCTTTTCTATCTTTGCCCAGGTTCAAAAAAAATGCCATTTGGATAAACATTATTCTACTAGAGCTAAGTTCACTGCTTGATGAAAACCAGACCTTAATTAACCCAATATCACAAGAAGGAAAATATAGTAAGATCCAGGATCTTGCTCCCTATTTCATATCCTTTCAGCAGAAATAAATATACCTTTATGAGCAAAAACACTAGAGAAGAGAAGGAAAGCTGAAAGGAGTGATGTGATTTTATCAGTATTACACAGCTAGTGTCTGAGTGGGGACGAGAGGTCCTAATCTTCCAGGATTTTCTGTTCCCTAGTCTATTGGTTTTCTACCCTACCTCAGTGTATCACTAGATTTAGACTTAGACCTGAATAAACAATGATGAGAGAAAAGTTGCTCCTTTGCTAAAGTTCAGCAGTTCTTCCAAACATAAAAGTCTATAAATATGCTCAAGTTTATACCAAATACGACACATCTCATGTCAATTGTGGTGAGACTCCAAGTTTCCAAATTCAAGATTTAGGATTTTTTAAAAAAGAAGGACCAAATAAGAGTGATATTAATTCATTGTCAATTACAAACTATTAGGTTGGAACACTCTACTTAGTTGTTTTGGTGATATCAACATAAAATGTAATCTAGTTGTACAACTAAGCTCCAAGGCAGAAGTCATTACTTTCTGCTTTCTTTTTAGAATAGACGGTTCATCAATGACATGGTGAAGATCTATTCTATCATAGCCACTAATGCAGTTGATGGGGTGGCGTCTTCATGCCGTGCCTGTGCCCTTGGTTCTGAACAGTCGGGCTCATCGTGTGTCCCCTGCCCCCCAGGCCACTACATTGAGAAAGAAACCAACCAGTGCAAGGAGTGTCCACCTGACACCTACCTGTCCATACATCAGGTCTATGGCAAGGAGGCTTGTATTCCCTGTGGGCCTGGGAGTAAAAGCACTCAGGTAAGTAGGCTGTGTTTCGGTTATTCTCAGAGAAGCATATTTTAATAGGTCAACTCAAGAATTCCCCTTAATGTTTCTGTAGAAGTTATAACGTTGCTATTTATTCTGGGAAAAAAAGAGGTTTTTAATTCCCTTTCCTGTTTGCTGTCTTTTTTATGTTTATGCAGCACTGAATGCGTACTATGAATGGGCTGGTTACTAAGAACTAAAAATATTAAGCAAAGAACTCAAATAAGAAATGTTTTCCAAAAAATGTTAGAATTGATTTCTTATGCATTATTAAGGTAGAGCACATAAAATACTTTTGTAGGTTGGCTGTAGGAATTATCTGAGATGTAGAAAGTATATCTTACAACATTTAAAGTACAGGTTAATGTTATATTACAGATGGAAGTGAAAGTAGTTTTAAATTGGCATAACAGGAAATTTTTACTATTTCTTAAAGTACCTTCCTATAAGAAACTTATTTGAGAATAACTTTACTCTGACTTTAAAAGAATCTGAGGCCTCTAAACTCTGCCTAGAAAAATTTACAATGTAGAAATTTTCTGTATTAGGATGGTAAAATATAACAAAGACAAAATTACTGAAATAGTTTTTATACCTAGAACTTTTAAGGACACATTTTTAGTAGTAGTTAATACTTTCTTTATTTCAATATTGTTTCTTTGTGTTTTGTTCTCTTTAAATAAAGGATCACTCAGTTTGCTATAGCGACTGCTTTTTCTACCATGAAAAAGAAAATCAGAGTTTGCATTATGACTTCAGCAACCTCAGCAGCGTGGGTTCCTTAATGAATGGGCCCAGCTTCACCTCCAAAGGAACAAAATATTTCCATTTCTTCAATATCAGTTTATGTGGGCATGAGGTGAGTTTTAGATATCAAGAAGAGACAGAGCTATATACTAGCTCTGATTAAGCTGATATTTTCTGTGTTGGTAAACCAGTAAAATCTCCCTGGGAACTAAAAACCAATGTCAGGAACTGAGCTTTGATTGCTTAAATCCTCTGTTCCCTCTTATCATATTTACAGCTTTCTTTACCAGGGTTGACATCATTTGGTTCTCTGTCCATCAAAGCATTATTCAGTTAGCTGAACCCCAAGACTTGAAGCTGTGGTGAAGTGCATTGAGAGTCTTTCTTTTTCTTTTTCTTTTTCCTGATAAAATTGGGCGAGGCTTATCAAACCCCACCTATCTTTTCAGGCAAGCAATTGTGATTTGAGAGTTTTATTCTTGCTTATTGTATTATGGTTCTCCAGAAAAACAGGAAAAAAATTTATATGAGAAAGGATTTGTTAGGGGAATTGGCTAATGTGATTATGGAGGCCAAGAAATCCCATCTAAGTCGGAGACCCTGGAATACTGGCAGCATGTCTGAGTCCTAGTCCAAAAGGTTCAAAACCAGGATGCCAGTGGTGTAATTCTCATTTGAGACTGAAGGCCTGAGAACCCCAGAGGTGGGTGGGTGGTGGGAGTAGGGCTGCTGATGTGATCCCTGGAGTCCCAAAGCCAGGGAGCCTGAAGTTCCAATGTCCCGGGCAGGAGAAGTCAAGAACCAGCTCCAGAAGTGAGAAGAAATCCTTTCCTTCTGCCTTTTTGTTCTATTTGGATCCCCAGCTAATTGAATGGTGCCCACCCACCTTGAGGTGCACCTTCCCAGTAGGTCCACTGACTTACACACCAGTTTCTTCCAGCATCACCCTCATAAACACTTGCAGAATTAATACTTTGCCAGTTCTCCAGGCTTTCCTTCAGCCAGTCAAGTTAACAAATCAACCAGCGTGCTCATATTGTCAGTTTTGTGTCTTCAGAAGAAAAATGATTGTTAAGAGGAAGTTTTACAAAATAAAAAAGAGATATGCAGGGACAAATATCAATTGATAAGGTTGCCTCTGCTAATAATGGAATTTTTTTGTTGTTGGAGGAAGCACAAACTTAAGTGATACTTTTTTTTTTTTTTTAGTGGATCTACGTGTCCAATATTTTTATGGACATATGAAGTTGGTGCTGTGAAGAATGTATATGTATATACCATCAACAAAGTTGAGAATATAATAAGGCATTTCCTCCGTGTCTCTTTCTATAGTAACTTCTAAATATTTTCTTCATTATGAAATGCTGTATCAAACTTGTTAAAAGGAAATAGAGATCTGATGAACACAGAAGTTTAAAAAAAAAAAAAAAAAACAGATCTATACACTTTACATGATGTGTATTTGTCCTTTCCTGACTTTACATGGAGAGATCCAACATACATACTTACTATATGGGTTAGTCACCCAGTCTGTTCAATAAGTAAATTTATATTAAATACCTGTTGTATGTCAGATATTATATGAGGCACGGAATGAGGTTAATTCCATTATCTAACACATTTCCTAGTTTTATTCTACTGTCTCTTCTTCCATCTTCTCTCTTTTTTTTCTTTTTGGGGGGTGGGGAGTGGGTTCAAGGGATTGAGTTTAGGGACACTTGACCACTGAGACACATTCCCAGCCCTATTTTGTATTTTATTTAATGACAGGGTCTCACTGAGTCACTTAGCACCTCACTTTTGCTGAGCCTGACTTTAAACTCGCCATCCTCCTGCCTCAGTCTCCCAAGCTGCTGGGATTATAAGCATGCATCACCGCGCCTGGCTCTTTTTATTCTCACTTATTTTATTTTAGTCTTTCCTTTGTTTTCCCTTTCTTTCCTCAGTACGTTCTCTCTGCTCTTTTCCATTATTTTGCCTTAGCTTCAACAATTTAAGATTCGCAAAAAATATATAGAATCCTTATTGGGGTCAGAAGGACTTGTAGAGGGAGAAAAATTTATATGTCATGATTGCAAATTGCATTAGGAAAGAAAAATCTGTATACTTTATGTCTTTATTTTATTTTATTTTACTTTATTTTTTGGGGTACCAGGGATTGAACTCAGGGACAGTTGAGCATTGAGTCACATCCCTAACCCTATTTTGTATTTCATTAGATACAGGGTTTGAGTTGATTAGCGCCTGGCTAAATTGCTGAGGCTGGCTTTGAACTTGTGATCCTCCTGCCTCCTCCTTCTGAGCTGCTGGGATTACAGACTTTTGCCACCACACCCGGCTCTACTTTATGTCTTTCTTTGCACAGTCTATATATCTAAGATAAATGAGATAGTTTTCCTATTTTCTTTTTATATTTCTTTCTGGAAATTATGGAGCAAGCTATAGTTCTTTGTGTTGGGACAGCAGTATATTTAAATATACTATGTTTAAACCATCTTTCAATTTTTACAAATAAATTTTGCATTCTAGCTAATGTCTAAATAATTTTAAAAATTAACCTCTTATATTGTCTTCATTTTATAGTTAAACAGATTCACATCACTGGATCTAAGAGTAGGTGAATAAAGATACTTGCAGTAGGTGAATAAAGATACTGTTTAGAATTTGGACGTGCTGGGTTTTTGCTGCATTATGACTTTTAGGCTTTCTTTTTCAGCTTTCATATTATCTTCATGCCACACTCAGGCCTGTGAAGGAGAAGGCAAGGCAAGCCTTTTTCCTTGGCATTAAAACCTTTGCCAGCAGTTTGTTGGTCTCTTTGCATTCCTTCATATCCTGTGAACTGGACTCTCATAGATGACTTAGTTGTATGGCTTCCATCCAACATGAATGAAGAACAGTAGAGCTTGAATAACTGGAGTGGCTCTCAACCTGGGCTGAACATTTACATTGCCTTGAGAGCTTTTAAAAAAACACTAATGCCTGGGCTTTACCCCAGATCCCTTAAATCAGAATCTCTGTGATGAAGAGAGAGCCATGCTCTCCTAGAGCTCTCCTAGAGCAAGACTAACTGAGATTCAGTTTAGAGACTGACTTTCAGTAAAACCTCTTGCGACTTTGTTTCCTAGGGGAAGAAGATGGCTCTCTGTACTAATAACATATCGGATTTTACAGTAAAGGAAATGGTGGCAGGATCAGATGATTACACCAACTTGGTAGGGGCTTTTGTGTGCCAGTCAACAATTATCCCTTCTGAAAGTAAGGGTTTCCGAGCAGCCTTGTCATCCCAGTCCATCATTCTGGCAGACACATTTTTAGGTAAGTTCCCCATGGTTAATATATGCATGCATGCATTTATTCTAAAATTATGGTAATGGTAATTTGTTATGGCACTGGTGTTTACCACAGAAGATTAAGACAAACAGGTAACTCTAAATCATTATTTTGTAAAATGTTTTAAAAGCTTCTGTGTGTGGGATCTACTGATCAACCTCCCAGAGTACAAGATTCTGAATTTACATATTAACTCATATGATAAATCATGTTCTATGCCTTTCGTCAGATTCTCTAAGAGTTTAAAAAGCAAAATAATTTTTAAAATGAAAGTAAACAAAACAAAAAACCAAAGCAAGAACAGTAGACAAACATAATCTAAATCTAAATTATAGTATGTGCCACTAATATACATAATCTTTTCTGAGATCCAAAGTAAACTGGTAGCAAATGTGAGGTGCTGAGTTTCTCCCCATGTGCTCCAGGTATCTGGGTCCTGAAAGCTATAGGGACGTTTTTAGAAGAAACCAGATTTGTAAGTAGTGATTCTTAGGAATCAAGTTCATTGACCTTGATTGAACCTCTGGGGTGAGGGTTTGGAATCCAGCAAGTGCCATGAGTGGTTGTGATGTGCAGCGATATTTGAGAATCCTTGCTCTCTTCTTCATAGGCATGCAGCTTCAGATTCCAGGACAAGGCCCATCACTTGGCTTGCACTCATCACCAGAACTCTGTTAGAAGCAAAGATGCTGTTAATGCTGGCATTTCAGTTCTATCATCATTTTTCTTGCCTCTTATTAAAAAGTCCTGCTTTTCTGCTTATTAGATCAAGAACATTTTAGAGTTATTTTCTGGAAGTTATTAGTGTTCACATATGTTATATAATATGTATGTATTACAAATATATTTTACACATGTATATATTGAAGTGTATATGTTTTGAAATGGCATATATCTTTCTGTGCTATCCAGACTGGTCTTGAACTCCTGGGCTCAAGTGATCTTCCTGCCTCATTCTCTTGAGTAGCTGTGACTACAGATGTGCATTGCCGCAGCTGGCTGGGAACAGAAAATTTTACTTTGTCAAATATGTGTATATTGAACCATGATCAAGAAGCTATATTTGCAAAATAGCCTAGCATATTGACAAAACTCACCAGAGGATAACAATTTTAAAAGTAGATTTTTGAACTAATCGAACTGGAAAGAACTTTAGAGAGTATCTAGGTTACTTCATGCATTCAACAGATCCAAAAATAAGACCTAGGGAAGTTAAGTAACTTAAGTTAAATTGCAAGGCCAGGGAGTAGAATTTTTTATCTTTTGGAGTGTTTGGGAAGTTCCTTATTTTTACCAGGAATGCATTAATTTAATGCAGTATTTCTGGCGAAATGACAGTTATCAAAGTAAAGCTATTTGCTATTCAGATGTACAGAAATTAAATAAAACTAGTTTTCCCATATTGCTTAATAGTTTCTTTTTTAATGTCATCTAGGCGTAACAGTTGAAACCACATTGCAAAACATTAATATAAAAGAAGACATGTTCCCAGTTTCACCAAGCCAAATACCAGATGTGCATTTCTTTTATAAGTAAGTGAAGATACTGCTTTCCTTGACTATTCTTTATCAAAAGGAACGCATATATATCTCTATATATGGATTTTTATTTCCCATTCTCTATTGTTAAGTTCCTGGGAAGATATATAATATCACCTCTGGGTGCCTAGCATGGTAGCTTGAATTGAACAGATAATAAAAAAAATTGATCATTAAATGTCTTAGTAAAAAGTAGGAAACTTGGAATATTTAAAAAGCCTTATGTGATTTCTCTCAAATACACACACACACACACACACACACAAATGTATATATTATATATTTACATACACACATATGCACTTTTAAATTAGGCAATAAGGACACTCTAGTTCATTGTCTAGGTAGTAATTCTAATTCACACATCAAAACATCAACCTAAGTAGATCTGAACCCTGTTCCCTTTAAGAATATTTTGATTATAATTTGATTAAAATTCTATAGCTTTACCAAACACCTTGATTATAGCTTTGTCACTTTACCTGGGAAAGTTGTCAACTTGGCATAGTCAAAATAAGAGACCTGAATTTGTATTCTAAATTAGCAAACTTTAATACATTTTTCTTCTTTATAGAGCATGAGAATGATTATACACATGATCTGTGTCACCTCTGTTTTTTAAAATACTATTTGCCTCATAATAGGTCTTCCACAACTACAACATCCTGTATTAATGGCCGATCAACTGCTGTGAAAATGAGGTGTAATCCTACTAAACCTGGAGCGGGCATGATTTCAGTCCCCAGGTATTCTTATTTATATGTGATTGTTCAACATTTGTATTTTATAATACATATAATAGATATATACATATTTTTAGAGGAAAAATCTAGAATCTTATTTTAAAACATTATTTATAGGAATAAAGCAGAAAGAGAACAAAGGTATCTGTAGGTTTTTGTTGAGGGATATACTAAGCATGGGTGAAGAAGAAAGAATAGGTACCTGGTCGATATCAATATTTCCCCATATCCGTATTCCATTTGCCTTGAATATCTAATTCTTTTGAAAGTTATTTAGGTACAATTAATTACACTGTGTCCTTGTATTTATTCTTAGTGTTTCATCTTAATTTCCTTGAGAGCTGGATTAGGAACTTCCCTAGATTAGTACAAGATTAACACCAACTTGTTGGGTGATCTTGATTAAGTAATCTAACCTCCAAGTTATAGTTTCTTTCTCTGAAAGGGGATGGGACCAGGTTGGAGAGTTTGTAGGATTCATTTCCAGCTCCTCAGACTTCTGTTTAATGATAGGGGAATCACTAGTGAGTCTGGCCTATAGGATAAAATACAGTTCATTTCCCTGACTGACTGGCATTGAGGAAGCAGCGCTCCACAGTCTAGATATGATTATACAGTTCACTTTGTGTGGGCACAGTAGGGGAGCATAAGCAATTTCCTGGGTTTAGAAAACTATCAACTTAAGTAAAGGCTGCTTTCATGATCTGAGGGACATTCAAATGTCTCTTGATTTTTATTTTTCACATTTATTGTTCAGTGTTTAGATTATTTTTCACATGTATTGTTCAGTATATAGATTATTTCTATTCTTATTAGTATTAAATTATCTTTGGATTATAGTTAGACTTGAAGATTTTTCTCCATTAAACTGCAAAGTCATGTATTTTGAAAAAGAAAATGATTGATATTTGTTTTTTATAATTTCATAATAACCCCTGAGAAATTTTAAGCTATTTTGTTTCTGTCACATCAGGATTGGAAATCAGTGGTCTAAGCGTTGCTTCATTTTGTGTATCCTAAAAATAATTATAGTGGTAACACATTGTTTTTGGTTTCTTTTGGGGTATAAAGGCATACCAGCATTCACATCTCACCAAACTGCATCTCTCTGGTTTTCACAGACCTACAAATTAATTATTATTTTCACCTATTCAAGGTGAGAAAAGAACGTGATGAGAGGAGTATAAAAGGTAATAGATGGCAGAGAAAGGAGCAGGGAGAGACAGATGCTCTGTAGCCTCAGAAGATCCTTCTGCAGCCTCTAAGCCAGAGTCCAGGCAGCAAACCACACTGTCTTTATGAAAAGATGTGTTCAGAGGGTACAGTGATAAAAGCTCAAGTCTTTCATCATTCTCTGATAGTCTGCCAGAGAGCCTGGAGTTCAGGTGCTCCTTCTATTTACTGTAGCACATCTGAGGTCCCTTTTGGACCTTGCAACTAACCTCTTGAGGTCTAGTCTCTGGGAGCCTAATTGGGATGGCTTCTGATGCCTCTGCTAGGTCTTTGATTCAAACAAATCATGCTCCTAAAGGATAGTTCTCACATTAAGAGAAATTATTACTCTGACTCTGCTAAGGTACGTCTTGATGTTTTAATGTAATAACAAAAATAGTCTCAAAGGGTTAAATGATGGCATCTAGAAAGTGAACTTTTCCTTGAGAGGAGAAAACCAGTTAAATTTCGTTTCTCACCTCTGGCAATCTTTGCCACTTAGGGAACTTAACTGTCTTTGCCAGGGTTTTTCAATATCATCTGCAACAGAATACCTTAGGGTCTCTATTTTTAAAACTGATTTCTAGAACTTACAGAATGTCTGGAGGTTAACACAGGAATATTTTTAAAAACGCAAGGTGATTATGTTGCATATTAAAATTTGAGAATAATTTATCTTAACCTATATTTTTAGATATGGCTTTTTTTCCCCCAGAGACAGATTTTTGCTTCTTGGTTTTGTGAAAAACTGATTTAAAATGCCATGGTCTTCAGAGTAGAGTCTTCACTGTATCTTGAGAGCTCTTTGTCTGAAGTTGTGATGCATCCTAATGTGTACAGACCATTCCTCTAGGGTACTGCTTAAACCCCACAGTCTAAATGTGCTGACCTCTAGTTTTCCCTTGAATCTATTTCCCATCAGGGCACAAGGGGGAGCTCAGGGACAGAACATGAGAAACAGCAGCTTATCCTGAAATAATTGGATTTCTTTCTTTCTTTCTTCTTTTTTTTTTTTTTTAGCTTCAGGGCTGAATAAAGATTTCCTACAAACGGGTTTCTCAGGCTACTTTTTAAGAGGTCTTATTTTGCACTTTTTTTTTTTAAGCTTTAAGATCTCCAGGGTAGATTGAGAGATGCTAACTAGACCCCAGTCCTTGAGAAGCCTACTGTACTGACTAAGAAGTCTCAGAGGGAGACCTTGGTAGCTTGAAAATGATTCCATCCCCAGGAATTCTCCTTCTTGGCCAAGAATACTGGCAAATCAGGCCAAAGGATATTAACAGTAGTAATGTTGGTTGAGATTTTGAATCTCAGTGGCCTAGGAAACTGTTGAAAGACCCTCAGCCCTTGAAAAGTGAAAATGTCTTAATGCGGGGTGGAGAGAAAGGGAAATGTGGGTTTACTCTGGGTGAGAAAAAGGGAATGTGTGTTTTTTCTGTGTGACACGTGAACTTCACAGGAGCAGCACGTCATCTGGGCTGCCTACTCTTGTGCAATTGAAAACACCAACCTGTCTGTTTTGTCTGGCAAATGTATTTGGTTTCTAATTCCACAAAGTTTGTGGAGGGTGTGAGACATTTTAGATGAAAATTTAGCAGCCTGGAGTCTGCCTTGTACAATCTGACAGCTGGAATGGACTTTTGAGTTTTTGTAGGGAAGTTTGCCCCTTAAGTAGAGAATATACTACCAACCCAATAGACTGTAAAGATCCCTAGATAAACCTCCAAACTTCCTAAATAGATGTCTCTCCAGGCTTTCTAAACCTAAGTTATAATCTGAGGTGCACAGAGAAATCAAAGCCTCCTTTTTCATTAGGAGTAATGCAGACTTAAGTGTGTGTCCAAAGGACTCTAAAAATCATGAGTCCTGGGGATATGGTTCAGTATAGAGTGCTTACCTGGCATGCAAGTGGCCCTGGGTTTAATCCCCTGTACTACAAACAGACAAACTAACAAACAAAACATCCTATTCACAAAATCATGAGAAATTATTGGAAGGTGAAAAGGTTATATTGTTGCAGGAAACACACTGGTTGAAAAGCAGCAAGCAGTCCCCGGAGGGGAACTCCAAACTATTTTATCGTGGAGGGCCCAGAGGAAAACAAAACTCCAAATTCTGAGCCCTGATCCACAGTTTCTCACAACATTGATAGGTTATTTGGCATCATTTAGACCCATCCTATCACTGGGGCTTTTTTCCTCTTTAAAAAAAAATTCCTACTCTATGGGGCGAAAGGCCTTGTACAGGGTCTTTAACATAAAGCATGCTCACAGAAACAGATAAGAAGAAAGGGGTCTTTTCACAGGCATCTGTTACATTTCAAGAAGGAGTAGTCAGACTCCTAGGGCATTTATTTACAATCCAAAAGGTAGGGTCCCATGTTTAATTAGGCTTCCTGGAGAAAGGCTGAAAGAGGGGAGGAGAACTGACCCTTTCTCCAGGCATTGGTTTCTTACCATAATGTTTTCATAATTTCATTTCATAACCAGGTTTGGTTTTGCCATCACAATATGAAGTCCTTCTTAGAAAGCAGGCTGTGGGAACCATTTTTACTTTCATAATAGATCTGCCATAGTGTCAATGAGATCCTTGAGTCAAACCCATTTCACTTCACAGAGCAGGAAACAAGGCCCCAGGTTGTGTGGCTAAGAAGTGGCATAGTCACGATGCAGTGATCTCCCGACTGCCTCTCTGGTTCTTGTCACTCCATGTTCTTTCATCTTGCCATTTCTCTTCCACTTCCTCATAAGCAGAGATTTGCATAGAATCCCACTAAGCAAAGAGGCATGTGGCACATTTATCCCAGAGGGAACTAAATTGATGTACGAGATATTGGTACCTTCTTATAATAAGGTTGTTAAAGCATCATCCTGGTCTCTTTCTTTCCCTTCATCCCTCCCAATTTATGACTTTGTTTACATGCTTGAGTAGCTTAAAAATTAGTCTAAAATTGTTTTTCAAAATCTCTCTCAAATCCCAAATCCATCTTAATTTTCATTGTGATCTCTGGGGCTATTGTACCTCATGAAAGGACTGCTTCACAGTTCTGTTCAGGGGTGGGGCACTGCAGAAGTGTGCTCCACAGGCTCTAACTTATAGTCATTTTAGCAAAATCACCAGAATTATTGGATGCTAATGTAGTATTTTGTTTGGTCTTTGGTAAAGGATTGTTAAAGCCAGAAAGTCTATCCATTTTAAGTTAAGAGCCCAAGAAAGATGTTTAAGTGAGTTCCTTATTTTCTTGTTTCCTTTGAACCTTTATGGACAAATAATACATGTCTAAGTCTGTATAGGGTAAATTAAAAAGGCAATAGATCTCAAATTATTAAAGCCAAATATGTTATTAGAATATTAAAATGTATGAAGCATATAATGGCATTAGGAGCATATGTGATAACTGAAAGCCATTATGATCAAGAATTGGAGAAGTCAATACTTGCTGAAATTGTATAGTTCAAACACTAACAAGTAATCTTCAGACACAACATGATGACATTACAAGACAAAGTTTTAGAATCATTTTGAAATATGGATAATAAAAATTAATTTTTTTTCCACTAGAGAAGAAAAAGAAAATGTGGATAAAAGAAAACCGGGCAGTCAGTTAAGTTTGTCTAGATCTTCATCAGATGCTGACTTTAGATAATTAATCCAGGATAGTCTCTTTAGAAAGGAACATTTTTTTTTCAGGAGATTGGTATAATTCAATATCCCTATATCAAAGAGCTTCCAGTAAAAAAAAAAAAAAAAGCAAAAACACTTATGTTCTTACTCAGTCTGCTAGGGTCTGA